TTTTTTTTTCAACGTTTATTTATTTTTGGGACAGAGAGAGACAGAGCATGAATGGGAGAGGGGCAGAGAGAGAGGGAGACACAGAATCGGAAACAGGCTCCAGGCTCTGAGCCATCAGCCCAGAGCCTGACGCGGGGCTCAAACTCACGGACCGCGAGATCGTGACCTGGCTGAAGTCGGACGCTTAACCGACTGCGCCACCCAGGCGCCCCCAGACTTACTTTCTAAAGACAAGGATACCTCAGAGCTTTGGTACTGGTTTGTTACACATTTCAAAGCTGGGGCGCCTCAAGGCTCTGGGAAACTATTCCTGAATCCTCGAGGTCTGAAGTACTGGCTTTGCTAGAGCTCATGCAAATTCATCTTGCAGAAAATCTTGGCCCATCAAAGTTAACATGCCATCAGTTTTATCTCAGTTACTATCTGCATAACGAACATTGACACAGCAACATATTTTTAAAGCTTGATTAGCTTTTCACCAAATGCCTAACAGAATGCCAGAATCAATTTATAAATTAATTTTAAAAAGTGGGACCTAAGTCCATTTTGATAGGAACTCTTTCTAAATAAAATACCGTCTGGGAATATTGTGACAAGGCCTATTTCCCGGTTTTGATAATGGACTATAATTTTGTAAGATGTTATCTTTGGGGGAATCTGGGTAATGGGTACAGGGCATCTTTCTGTACAAGTTTGAAACTTCCTGTGCGTCTATAATTACTACAGAACAAAACGTGAACAAACTATGTATGAAATAACCACGCTAAGAGCTTATTTTTTAAGAAAAAGTCTCCATGTACCTCAAAAGTACAAATTAGGTGATGAAATTAAGAACTGAAATAGAGTATAGCTTAATATGTATTTTGATACTCGAGCCAGTGGACAAAGGGATACTGGTGTTCTCCAACCATGAGATGGTCTAGAAGAATCTGTCGGCCTCTTTTTTTGGAACAGGGCCCCTGGCAGTGAAGAGACATCCTCTTACAGACAGTTCTTTTCCTAACATGGTTAAGATATCCCTAGAGACGTAGGGAGAACTAAGCAACGTATAAACAAGATGGAACCTTCCCTTAGTATGTACGTGGCATTTAATAACAGATGGGCAACACACGATCGATTCTCGCGGCCTGGGAACACTTCACAGTTAGTTTCCCCCACACTTTGAATTGACTTACAAATGAGTCCTCTTGGCCTTAGCGTCTGCCTTCTGCCGTGAGACAGTCCCTAATCATAAATCCCTGTGGTTTGTGTGGTACTGTGTCTGCTGGGGCACGGTCTCAGGTTGAGGGGACAGCAAGGCTCGGGGATGTGAAGGGGAGCCTTGGCATCGGATGTGGGGGGTGGGGGTTGACCGGAGCCTACATTTCCTGACTTTCGGACAGCACTTTGTTACTAGGTAGTACCCTGCCCGATAACCGTGTATCCGGCAGCAGCTAACAGCCGTTTCCCCTGGTGCGGGGGGCTCAGCAGCAGCTGAGAGCGCGGGCCCTGCCGGCCTGTGCCCGGAGAACCCCCCCCTTCCCGAGTTCACTGGCTCCTTGCGTCTGTTGAGGATTGAGCTGGCACTCCAGACAGCGTTTAGTTGTGTAGCATATAGAGTTAGCTCCATGGCGAGGTGCACTTGGTTGGCCATGAAAAGACAGGGAGAAAGTATATTCTGGCAAAATCAAGGAAAAACATGAAAGTTCAGAGGGAAGCAAATAATGGAACTAAAGATCGTCTGGGGGGGGGGCAGAGAAAAGAGGCAAAAATGACAAATGAAACACAGGGAGAGATTAATGGGAGTGCTCTGTTCACATCTCCCCTGACTCCCTGCACCCCTGGGGGCTGGAGGGCGGGGCACTGGAGCCGGGCAGCCCCTGGCTCCTCCTACTGCTGTCCAACCAGCTGCCTCTACCTTGAAGGATCTCTCAAAGCCAGTTTTCTTCTCCCATCCTGACGCCCTCCCTACCGGCGCCCCCCCCCCCCCCCCAGCCACCGACACCTTTGTGTTTCTCTTGGCTTCTCTCCACACAACAGCCACTGTCATCTTAAGACAAATCAGGTCCCATCACTCCCCTGCCTAGACCTTTGCACGGCTACCACCCTGCCCAGCGCCATCTTCCTGCTGTTACTTCTGGCTTCTGCAAAACGCCAGACCTTTTCCCAGCCTTGGGGTCTCACACAGGACTTCTTTCCTGGGCTCTTCCTCCCTGTTCGCTCCACCTCCTGAGGTTTAGCTTCCCTTCTTTTTTTTTATTTTTTATTTTTATTTTTTTTAAATTTTTTTTTCAACGTTTATTTATTTTGGGGACAGAGAGAGACAGAGGATGAACGGGGGAGGGGCAGAGAGAGAGGGAGACACAGAATCGGAAACAGGCTCCAGGCTCCGAGCCATCAGCCCAGAGCCTGACGCGGGGCTCGAACCCACGGACCGCGAGATTGTGACCTGGCTGAAGTCGGACGCCTAACCGACTGCGCCACCCAGGCGCCCCTTAGCTTCCCTTCTTATCACCTTGGAGAAGAGGGCCCTTTGTGACGGTCACTGTCACTGTCACTGCAAACTGTTATTAGGTACTGCTTTAAATCCAAGCGGGCAGGGAGTATGCCTCTCTCCCAGGATCTAGCAGGGGGTGGTATTCCCCAACACGTGTCTGCTGAACCAACTCCCTGAGCTCATTTCTTCATCTGTAAAAGGTCAGAAGTAACACCTTTCAGGGCAATTGCGAGCAACCGATGACCACAGAATCCATCCCTGTGTTGGGTCTTCACCGCGTGCCAGCTGCCACGGTTTACGGGCAGTTGTCGCAGATAATTCCACGTAGTGGGTATCATGGCCCCCCCAACCCTCCCCCCCCCAACAAGTTTTACCCAAGGACTGAGATTTTAAAGAATATGCCCAGCACTGGGGCACCTGGGTGGCTCAGCTGGTTAAGCGTCTAACTTCGGCTCAGATCATGATCTGGTTTGTGAGTTTGAGCCCCACATGGGGCTATTGTCAGCGCGGAGCTCGCTTTGGATCCTCTGTCCACCCCTACCCCATCCCTCCCCTGCTCGCGCTCTCAAAAATAAACATTAGAAAAATAATGAAAAGAATCTGCCCAACACAGACGGAGGTGGAGGTGGCCTTCCAGCCCAGCTCACTGACCTCCGAGTCCTCACTCCCGACTGTGGAGGATACCAAGTTCAGTGAAGGTCATGGAGAGCTTCACCATATTGCCCAGCAGCCTGGGGAGTGGGAGGAGCAGCTGGGTTTTGGCTACAGGGCCCAGGAGAGGGGGGAGCCGGGCGCAGAGCCCCACGGCACCGGGGAGGGGCGCCCTCAAGCACAGAGGCCCAGCTTTCTCCTGCACCTAGAAGCTGCGAGAAGCAGGTCCGTCCTCTTTGTGAGAGGCCAGGATGGGCTGGGGTTCCTTTGGTGGCCTCACATCAAGCAAGAAGCAGAGCCTCCCAAGGGCCCCCAACAACCCGGACCTAGTCCTGAAAGCCTCCCAAGGGCCCCCAACAACCCGGACCTAGTCCTGAAACTCAAAGTCACGTCCAGTTTGTACCTACGCTCGTTTCTTCCGTACGTTCCCCTTGATGGGGGAGCCCCTCCCTAGGCAGGACCTGCTTTGACAGGGACACCCCAGCATCTGCCCCTTGCTCCCTTTCTGAACTGTTAAAGGGAAATACGGACAGCCCAGGCGTCTTCACTGTGCATTCATATAATATTAAACATTAATTGCTCAAGTTACTTTCATTTTAGGGACCAACCATAAATTTCAAGCATTTATGAGGCTGCAAAAAAACTTTCCCTTGTGCTTAAAGACGGTAATGGCTGTGAACGTACTGGAGACATCAACTTTTATAGAAGAGCTTAGGCAAGAAACGCGGTTAACGGTGTCATAAATAGTATTGTAACTTTATTAAAATGGAAAGACAATATTCAAAATAATGCAACAAAAATGAATAAAATCCTTTGTCCAACACTGTACACATAATGCAGAAATCAGTGCATTTTTCTAAAGCATGTCTCAACCTTCATGTAGTTCATACTAAAATATAAGCTTTAAATAGCTCAAATATTCAGCAGTTTCAATTGTAAACAGCTTGTTTAACTGTTAAGAGAACATTGCAGTAATGTACCTCCGTTAGTGAGCACCTTCTCTTTCGTGCTTGTCTACACAAGATACATGCATCGAAGCACGTGGGTGTCTGAGCGCAGGCTGCGGGTCTCACCGAATCCAAAGGAAGCAGCAGCCAGGAGGGTCTCCAAAGCAGAGCGACGCGGACATGGCCTGTGGCATTAAAACACACTGCGCTACTGGGCAAAAGCGTTTTACGTGGAAGGCACACCACCCCCAGGAAATACTGAACGGGAACCAGCAACACAAGGCCAGCTTGTGCTGTCCATGTTCATTCACACAGTCTACGGAAACCGACACGGAAACACAACACAGGCCCCCCCAGGGACTCTGTCACGTGGCTGGTGGTTTCACGATCGCTTCAACGGGACGCCCGCAGCCCTGGCGACCGGTCTGCTGGTCCAGGGGAGTCTAACGCGGTGCCCCTGTGGCTGCGAGGCGCATGCCAGACCGGGCCACCGTGGCGGGCAGAACAGAGCAGGGACCGTAAGGAGAACGGACGTGCGAATTCTGTTAGCTTCGCATCTTTCGAGAAGCAGGGCACGTGTGGCTGCCAGATACGCTGCTGTCCTCCCTGGAATGAAAAGGAAGGAGCCGGGTCTCGGGGTGACTTTTAGGCTGGGCAGGCAGAGCCTCGGCAGGGACTGCGCCCTGCCCTGGGGGACAAAGGCTGCTTGCAAAGTTTAAAGGAGAACATCACAGGGTCCAGGAGCCTGAATGCTTCAAAGTTACTAAACTAAAAAAAAAAAAAAA